CAGTATGGATTCTGTGATGAGTTTTAAGGGTTGACTGTTGACAGAAGACCTTGCCACACTCATTACACTTGTAAGGTTTCTCTCCAGTATGAATTCGCTGGTGACGTGTAAGGGATGTTTTTTCTCTGAAGGTCTTGTCACATTCATTACATTTGTAAGGTTTCTCCCCTGTATGGATTTTATGATGATTTTTAAGGTGTGATTTATGACGGAAGGCCTTGCCACATTCATTACATTTGTAAGGTTTCTCTCCAGAATGTATTTTCTGATGAACAGTAAGGCCTATCTTCTGTCTGAAGGCCTTGCCACATTCATTACACTTGTAAGGTTTCTCTCCCAAATGGATGGTGTAATGATTTTTAAGATTTGATTTGTGACGGAAGACTTTGCCACACTCACTACATTTGTAAGGTTTCTCTCCAGTATGTGTTTTCAGATGAACCCTAAGGGATACTTTCTGACTGAAGACCTTGTCACATTCATTACATTTGTAAGGTTTCTCTCCAGTATGAATTCTCAGATGAACTGTTAGGGATAATTTGTGCCGGAAAACCTTCCCACAATCATCACATTTGTAGGGTTCATCTGCATTATGGATAACCTGATGTATAGGAAGCCTTGAAGACCAACTAAATTTTTTGCCATCTTTGTAACATTTGCAAGGTTTCTCTCCAAAATGAGTTTTGTGATGATTTTTAATGTTTGATTTGTAACAGACCTTGCCCCACTCATTGCATTTGTATGTTTTCTGTGCAGTATGAACACTTGCATGTTTTATAAGGTATGAACTATAAATAAAAGCCTTGCCACACTCATTACATTTGTATGGTTTCTCTCCAGTGTGAAGTCTACGATGCCTTGCTAAGTGTGCATTTTGCCTGAAAACTTTGCCACACACCTCACATTCGAAAAGTTTATTTGCATTATGGATTACCTGATGTTTATAAAGCCTTGAAGGAAGACTACATGCTCTGCCACACTTGTCACATTTGCCAGGTTTTTCCCCAGAGTGAATTCTCTGATGTTGGAATAGGTGTGCATTTTTCCTGAAAACTTTGCCACACTTATTACATCCATAAGGTTTCTCCCCAGTATGGATTCTCCAATGTTGTACAAAGTCTGAATTTTTTCTGAAGCCCTTGCCACACTCTTCACATTTCGCAGGTTTCTTTCCTGTATGGACTACCCCATGGTCAGGAGGGCTTGAAGACACACTAAAGGCTTTGCCACACTCATTATGCCTATAACGTTCTTCCCTAATGTGTACGTTCAGTTCTTGTGTGACTGTTGGAAAATGGACAAAATCATTTTGATTTTTATTAAGCATGTGGCTTTTGAGCTTGGAAGGGATGTTTTCAAGCGGAGAAAATGAGGTAATATGATTGAGAGAGTTTTCAACTTCATTCCATTCATCGGTTTTCCTTTCATCTTGAAATAATGGCTGTTCAGGCACATGGGAGTAACAGCTTAATCCAAGTTGATTTTTAGTAGGTTTGTGTCTTGCTTCCATTCCCAATACACAGCTCGTCCCTAGGAAAGTAAGAAAAGAGGGAAACATTAACATATGGATCTGGCATTCCAAGAGTCTTAAGAATAAGATCTGCCCCACTTGATGGGGACATTGAGAGGAACATCAGTATACTCTGCATGGCAAACTGGCAATGCTGAAAACATAAAGAGGTGAGGGTCATGCACTGGATTGGGTGGGGGGCTGAGGCAGTCAGAAGGATTACTGGAAAGTTTTAGAGAGATGATGAGCAGAGAAATACAACAGATGCTGAAAGCTTCTGAAAAAATTAGGGATGAGCTTCTTTGGGAAAAATCAGACATATCACAGAAGCTGCTTACACATTAGCAATAATACATGAAAATAGCCAGGGAAGACAGACACATCACCAGAATAGGAATGAGCACTCCAAATCCTGTCCACTAGGCTGATGGGTAAAGGTCTCCCATGGCGTAATTTGAGGGCAAAGAGTGGTGGTTGTTATATCAATGCTGAAGCCTGAAGTAAAAATTACAAGACCTATACAAAGACAGGGAAGTATGCCCAAATAAAAGGAATCAGAATCAAATGCATGTCATAAAACAAAACCAAAAGGAACACAATCTTCAGAATAATTTGACAAATAATTAAACTGTCCTAATAAGCTTAATGAGCTACAAGATGAGAGAGATACAGAAGAGAGTCAATACTTGAAAGAGGAGCGTATCAAATAAAAAAGAAACTGCTGAACAAAATAAATTCTAGAACTACAATACAACAAATGCAGTAAAGATGCACTAGCGGAGCTGGGCGCCGTGGCTCATGCCTGTAATCCCAGCACTGTGAGAGGCTGAGGCGGGAGGATTGCTTGAGCTCAGGAGTTTGAGGCTTGTCTGAGCAAGAGTGAGACCTGACTCATGAAAAAAAATGAAAAAACCCAGCTGGGAGCTATGGCAAGCACCTGTAATCCCAGCAGCTTTGTGGCTGAGGCAGGAGGATGCCCATAGCCCAATCTGAGGTAGCAGTGAGCTACGATGCCATTGCACTCTGCTCAGGGCATAGGGTAGAACTCTGTCTTGACAACAAAAAACAAGGAAAAAGAAAAGATGCACTAGTGGAGACTGTCAGAGGAAAGAATATGCATGTTCAAAGACAGATTATTCAAAATTATCACTTCTAAAAAGGAAAAAGAAGAAATAATAAAGAAAAGCAAAGAGACCCCTATAGACTTTGGGGATACTGTTCTAGGGAACAACACACAAACTGTGGGAGTTTGATAAGAAGACACAGGGCTGGAAATCACATTTGGAGAAATAATGTCCAAAGTGTCCCCAATTTGAGGAAAGAACTGGATATACAAATTCTAGAATCTTCACTGTTTTAACTTAAAGCACACATGGACACTCAGGAAGAGATATATTATAAACACATCATCAGAAGTGAGAGATAGCTTTCCGATCCACCATCTGCGGTGGAACCACCACCAAGATGCAGATTTTCGTAAAAACCCTCACGGGGAAGACCATCACTCTTGATGCTGAACCCTCAGATACGATAGAAAATGTGAAGGCCAAGATCCAGGATAAGGAAGGAATTCCTCCTGATCAGCAAAGACTCATTTTTGCAGGCAAGCAACTGGAAGATGGACGTACTTTGACTACAACATTCAAAAGGAGTCCACTCTTCATGTTGTGTTAAGACTTTGCGGTGGTGCTAAGAAAAGGAAGAAGTCTTATACCTCCCAAGAAAAATAAGCATAAGAGAAAGAAGGTTAAGCTAGTTGTTCTGAAATACTATAAGGTCGATGAGAATGGCAAAATAAGTCACCTTCATCAAGAGTGTCCTTCAGATGAGTGTGGTGCTGGAGTTTTTATGGCCAGCCATTTTGATAGACATTATTGTGACAAATGTTGTCTTGCTTACTGTTTCAACAAACCAGAAGACAAGTAATTATATATGAATTAATAAAAGACATGAACTAAAAAAAGAAGAAGTGAGAGACAAAGGGATAATTTTAAAAGTAACAAGAAAATAGAGACTTGTCATACACAAAGGAAAGTATATAAGACTCTGTACATTTTTTAGTGGAAACCTTCCTAGTAGAATGCAGATGATACAATCAAAGTGCTTAAAGAATGAAAATTCATCAAGTAAGAATACAATATTTAGTGAAACCCTCCTATGGAAATCTAAGAGAAATTTAAACTTTCCTACAGAAAGAGCTGAGAACACTCATCAGCACTATAGACCTAGGGATGGAAATGGAAACATGAGTCTTTCAGTGGCAAAGGAAAGGAGCCTATACAGTAACTCTAACCCTTAAGAAAATATAAATTTTGCCATTCCAGTTCAATAAATGATCAAATATACAGATATTCAGTATTGTGCTTTTTACTTCTAACTCAACACTGAATCCTTTTCTAGCAACTGAAAGACACAATTACTAGACACTATATTTTAAATATCTACATATAAATATATGAATGGTAACACAAGTTATAGAGAAGTACCTCTGAGAGCAATAACAAAGTGAGAACAGAGTTGAAAAGGAGTGCTTTTGACCATAATAGATATTAACTTATTAACACTTAAAATAGAATGTTATAAATTTATGATATATGTATCTGAAATAATAAGTGCAAAAAAATCAATGGCTCATGCCTGCAATCCCAGCACTCTGGGAGGTTGAGGAGAGTAGATTCCCTGAGTTCAAGAATTCAAGACCAGCCTGAGCTAGAGCAAGACCCCCATTCTAGAAGTAGCCAGGTGCTATGGTGGGCGCCCAGCTACTCAGGAGGCTGAGGCAAGAGAAGTGCTTGAGCCCAAGAGTTTGAGGGTGCTGTGAGCTACACTCTACCAAAGGCAGCAAAGTGAGACTCTGTCTCAAAAAAAAATAAAAAAAATGATGGGGTGGCGCCTATAGCTTAGTGGGTAGAGTGCTAGCCACATATACTAGGGCTGGAGGGTTTGAATCTGGCCCAGGCCAGCTAAGGCAACAACAACAACTGCAATAGAAAAATAGCCAGGCATTGTGGCAGGT